GACACCCACTGAACATACTGGGGAGATCGTCAGATAGCTTTGTGGTCACAAATGGGCTGTAGTCAGTGGACGAAGAAACATTTTAGATCATAGGAGCAATATTACATGTTAAAGCATCCTGCATTCAAAATGTCACTTTAGCAAAAGCAGGGAGGTATTGGCAACAACATCAAGCCTTTTAAGGTATTTATAGTAAAAAAAAAAAAAATCATTGTGCAGAGTGGTTCTTGTCAGTGTACTGTATATAGGTATATTGTGTATATTGTGGATCATTATTATTGATGCACTGACATGTAAGCAATAGCACTTTGGAGCTCATTTGAATGGTTTTTGGTTGTTTTCATCTATAACAATACATCATGTTTCATTTGTTGGTCACATGTTTTAGATGTAAAATCTTAATCTGAAAGGTAACTAATAACCTTTCAACTCCTGTTACAATAAAAAAAAACATACAATGTTTGCTTTGGAAATGAAGTTTAGGCGTATAAAGTAGAACAAAAGGGAAGTACTCAAGACTATATGACTATACTGCACAACTGCACTATAATACAGTATTTGAGTAAATGTAATATCTTTCCACCGCTGGCTTTGGTACATGCTTTAATTGACTTATATTGATATAAAGAACTGTTATAATGCTATTTTTAAAGAACAAGCCTAGAGATGTTACCAAATAAACTACAATATTGCACAGATTACATAATAAAGTGATTATAAACTTACTGCAGAGTGTCACCTACAACATGACGGAAAGAAGCTTTTTGCAATTACATTTTGTTATTTACGCAAGTACAATTATTAACATATGTACTTTACTTGAGTATTTCCATTTGATGTTATATTATACTTCTATTTCATTTCAGATGGAAATATTCTACCTTTCCCCCACTAGCCTACATATGTTTCTGTTGATGTGACACTTTTCACAGTGGCAAAACATGTGACCAGTGTGTAAAATATGATGCAATGCGACACAGTAGTAGAATGTAACATTTACTGTAAGCACAATTTTGAGGTCCTTGTCCTTTACTTAAGTATTTTCATTTTCTGCTACTTTATGCATATACCTCACTACATTTCAGAGGGCAATGTTGTACCTTTTACTCTACTACATTACAACAGCTGTAGTTACTGTACATGTGATTCATTTATATAAAACTACTCAATATATAAAGTGGTCAAAATTAACTCCACCATGACCATATAAAAAGATGCTTATACATTAATGCATCAGTAATAATACTCCAATAACATTTTCTATAATAAAACAATTCTTAAAGGGACCATTCTGGTGTATAATAAACACTAATACTTTTCATACTTTAAGTTGATGATACAACTTTTGTATAGATTTACATAAGTAAACAAGACTTTTACTTGTAATGGAGTATTATGAAACATGTAGTATTACTTCTCCTACTCAAGTACTGGGTCTGAATACTTTGTCCACCATTGGTGCTGTAGATTAAACAACAGTTTGGCTCCACACTGAGGAGATACAGCATCACATTCTACTTAAACATTAATGGATCAATAATGATACTATACAGGCTACTATAACAATAATAGCCTGTAGTCTGAAAGCAGTACTTTCACTTTTTAGGATTTCAGTATATTGAATATACTCTTGTACTTTTACTGAAGCAAAATTTAATGCAGGACTTGTAATCGAGTATTTTTACATTGTTGCATTGCTACCTTTACTTAAGTAAAAGATCTAAATACTTCATCACTGGTGGACAGACATGCATGTATTTCATCTTAACTGCTCATTTTGTAACTTAAAACGACCTCGCTAGACTCAATCCGAGATGGGTGCTATTAAAGAAAGTTAAGGCTTATAAAATCCTCAAAGTTAATTAAATTTGAACCATTCTGACACCTCAGCGTAAGAAAGAAGTCCGATCGGGATGTAATTTAAGTGGCTTTTGAAATATGTCAAGGTAATAAGACAGACTAAGTCCTGCCTCTAGCACCTATCTGTGAAGAACCTCACACTAAAGTGCAGCTCACTGTGCCACTGCGTGAAATTACACTAAAAAAGCCTATTTTTTTTTTTCCCCTCATGCGCGCTCATGAGAACGCGTTCACGTTTGGCAGCTCCACGTCGACATTCTTCCAGCTGCATATAGTGAACTGCACAGGACTGGGGGAAGAAAAGGTAAAAGCGGCGGCAGCCACCTTTCCGATTAGAGCGCTGCAAATCCGCAGACGGACACCAACCGCAGTGAAAACAGGCGTTTGCACTGTGAATCCATCCGTGGCCTGCGATGTCCTCAGATCGCTTTCTGCTTTTTGCATTTTATGATCAAGACTACTTGCCCTCGTGTTGAATTGCAGCTGGTCCCTTGCGTCTACCTATATCAGGTACAGTATGACTTGCAGAACTTAAATTTGCCTTCATCAGATTACTTGTTGTGTAATTAACTGTCAGCACAATGATTGTGACATGGCTCTGTTTGTTTTGTTGCATTATTTTGCACTTCTAAAGTTGATGTCACTTGATGTGGCAAGTGCCCCAACTACCTTCAAACTGACAGAGCTCAATACCCCTGGAGCTTTCTGCATTTTCCTCATTGCTATCATGTCTATCTACATTGTTTAGTGAATAGGTCACCCTCCAGGGCCTGTTCAGTTGAGAAAGTTGTTGAAGCTCAACAGGTAGATTCAAAGACTCACCGGCACAGGGTTGAAATAATGCCAGTGAAGTTAAAGATACCACCAAAATTGGAAACGTCAAACATGTCAGCTCATATAGAGACCGGTTCATATGTTAACTTTGCAGCCAGATGGTCAAGCTTAAAAAAGGTAAGTAAATGAATTTTAGGATAATTTTTGGTGGGATGTACTACAGGATCCACTACTGCACATGCCCAAATGATATTTAGCCATTTAATCTTTTCTGTACAGAGCTGACAAGGTGTAAAAAGACTCCATCTGGTCTGCTTTACCTGTGTGACTCTAGGGAGGACCCACCACACAGCAAACAGCAAGCCTTTCTGTAGGCCCAGTCCTTAAAGCATTCAAGTCTTCTACTACTTCTACTACTTCTATAGCCACAAATGACACCAGCAATTTTCTCTCTTGTAGTTATATGTTTTGCATTGAAGTCAACATAATGAAAAAAGACATAATCAGAGTGGATGTCCTGTTTTTCCTTGCTTTGTGTGCCTTACTACAGGTTAAAGGAGCACCCAGTCATGAGGAGGATAAGGTCCTGCACAAGGACAAACCTATGAGGTGGCACTATGGCTTTCCAAATAAAGTTCTGTGATACACTCAGACTCTAATTGCTCGCAGTCAGTGCATTACAGAACTTTGTTTTGGGAGCTAATACTTTAACCTGTGGGAAATAAATTCTCAAACATCTGGACATTTAAGTTTACAGCATGATGTAATGGTCCTGTTGACAAATGAACTGTTTTCTCTCAAATAAAGTTTCCCTTTGTTTTAAGCATTTTTCACAGCCTCTGTCTTTTTTTGAGAATTTAACCACAGTTAATTTGTATTCTGAAATACTGTGTCTTGTCGTTTATGTACTGTAACGTTGTGTTCAATCATTACTTAAAGAGCACTGCTGTGTGCCATATGGAAACAGTAGTCACGCTGGTCAGATGACTGAGTGGAGGTGAGGCAGAGAGGTAAACAGTGAAGTCACACTTCAGGTTACCCTTAGTTTTTAAAACCATACTGGAATACTGACACTATACTACAATAATAAGTGCAAATAGTCAAAGCCAGATAAATTACGTGTTGTTTTTTTAAATGTGGCAGACAAACAATTAAAAATGATTGGTCTCAAACAACAGATCAGGTTTAAGTTGCCAGTTTAACTTAAATATACAATAGTATAGGGATAGATCTATTGAAAAAATTAAACTTAGCTCACAGGTTTGATAACTGTAGCTTATTTCTCCACTTTTGGTCCATTGTGTCACTTTCTTGCATTATTCTGAGCTAAGTCAAGCTAGTGTTAAATTCCCACTGTCTAATTTTGCTCTCTCATTATTTTTGACTTTATAAACTGTTGATAAAGGCATTATTTGTAACCTCCAGTTCACTTGTTCACTGTAGGTTTAGTAACTATCAAAATATATATTTTAAAACTTCCTCTTGAATATTTCAAGCATGGCAATTATTTTGTAATTATAGAAAAGCTATGACAACTATGCAAATTGACTGCAAATTCCAGTCTGAACAGTCAATGGAGCATACGCAACCAATTGTATATCACAAGGCATGCTGGGAAATACGTATAATGGTGCATTCAGGTGCTCCCCTTTAGCTCCTATTTCTCAATGAAGACAACATGTCAGTTGTGTAACTTTTTTGTGTAAGTTTTCCGGTTTAAAGGTTGAATAAAGAGATAATAATAAGAATAAAAACAATACAATACAAACATTTTTGTATGATGAACCTACCATAATTAAAGACATAAGTGAAATTGTGTATAAGCGATTTGCCTTGACCTAAATACATGCACACTAAATTTATAGCTAAATTTAACCATATCTAAACCAGAGCTGCAAGGATACTCTCTTTTATTATTAATTATTGATTATTTTCTTTGGTGTTAAGGTTTCGATGTTCTCATTGTTTTGTCCAACCTACTGTTCAAAAACCAAACACATGCCGTTTATTAAAATGTAAGACAAAGAAAAGCAACAGATTCTCACATTCAAGAAGCTGGAACCAAAAAAATAAATAAAAAAAATCTGCAGATTCATTTCCTGATCATTTGATCCCTAATTTGAACCAATGCCTAATAACCATTCAACCTACTTTGTATCACATGGTGTTATCATATAATCGTTGTTTTAGTGTCGCATATGCCCTCTTTCTTTTTCTCTGCCTCTCTCTCTCCGACTCCTAAACGTGGCAGGAAAAGAAAAACCCCAAATTCCCAATTGCCAGGCATTTAGTTACCACTCTTCGGGTCACTCGTGTGGACAACGGTATTTTCCGACGGGCCGTGAACGCAGCGCACTTTCCCTGCGCTGACCTCTGACAGCCGCTCATGGATCCGCTCCCTCCCTTCACAAACACGGAAGCAGCATGGCGTCCAACAGCAGCGGCGGCGGCAGCTCCGACAGGCAAGGGATTGCACAGCAGAGACTGAGGATAATTGCCGGGCATTTACGGGGACCGGTGGACGGTGACTCGACCATCCTAGCCGCGGAGTGCAAAGCCCAGGGCAGCAACACAGATGTCTCCAGTGAGGGGAAAACGGTGCCGAGGAGGAGGTACAAGGCTGTGATGGAGCGGTGGACTTAGAGTCCAGCCTCTGTGGCTTTTAGCTAGTTATTAAGTCAGAAAACAGTGGACTAACATCTAAACAAGAAGCAGTGGGGTGACATGCGCCGACAGACTGGGTTCCCCTCTTTTCTTCCATGTATTATAACGCAGGGGGACCCGGCTAAAGCGGTGTTTTAATTAGCCTGCTAGCTAACGTCACTTGGCTACAGAGTAGACATTCATTCGCTCCGGAGTGGGTGCGGCTGGGTTTACTTACAGGACTTAAACGTCCGTACGGTCGACTTTCTCAAAGTTAGTCCAGCGTAGCTTTTGCTGTGGGTTATAATGTATCGTCTTGATTTGTTATGTGGATATATTTGAGTGTCAGTGGTTGTAAAAGAAGAGAAAGTGTTATGGCTAACAAAATCTTCTGGCATTTTCTGCCGCTTCACAAAACAAACTCGTTCAATAGAATTAGCCGTTACTGTAGCCGTTACTGTAGCCGTTACTGTGGCCGTTACTGTTACGTACGGACGTTACGTACAGTTTGATTTATCCTTTTTGTCATTCAATGAACTGTTTATTAAGTTGAGGGTTAAGTGGTTTATTTAACATATACAGTTACTCTTTATTTGATTTATCATGCTATCATGTTGGTAAGGGAATCATTGAGATCAGTTCCTTGATGTTGTTTGGTTTTTTTTATCTTTCTTAACTGGATTTGTAGATATGGAGCACCATAATGTAATTTGTAATAACATGCAGAGGAGACAGTAGAAACTTCTCTGTTTCTTCTGTTGATCTGATTGGCCAGGACAAGTAGTGGTCTGACTTTCAACCTATTGGCAGCTCTGTTCCTTTTCTGAGGAAACACCACCACACTGTGCTGACATCTAGTGTCAAGTCTGGGATAACAGCTGAAGACACAATCAGCACTCAGAGGTATCAGCGTTTTGGCCTTGAGAAATCCATCATGTCCTGTTCTGGTCAATGTGACACAGGGGCGATCAAATATTATGTCTTGCAAGGTGCAACAGAAATGCAAATAGATAAAACAGAGTGTGTCTTTGGCCCCGCCTTTTGTTTAAATGAGCACAACTGCATACCATCCTGTGATGATAACAATTAGTCATTGTTTGGAGAAATACCATGGGACTTCCTCAGTTCAGCCCGTCTACAAATTACACTGAATGCAGTCTTTCCTGTATGGTTAGCTAAGTGGTCCACAGCTCAAGTGTTTCAGTTGAAAGCATTTGCCTTGAAGGGATATCCATTCCTTTCAGATTAATATAAACTCACATAGTTTATTAGATAGACCTAACTAAAATTAATGCAGTTAAAAAAAAACAGCCCTGCAATAAATCCTATCTTCATGAAGGTTAAAATGTTTAAAATGAAGGTTTCTAGATGTTCATTTTGGTCATTTTTAAGGCTGTAGTTTTAGTATTGCACTGCACTGAGAGGTATTTCTAATGTTTGTCCCGTACAGTTGTAACATATGCATATTTAATGATGATGAAGAAGCATCATTATACCGTAGAAACATTTATTTTATGCACAATGTCACGTAATTTTAGCACACTATACACTAAATTATACATTTTAATTAATACATTATTTTGATATTGATAGAAGGAACTTCAGTTGAGCTTGTCAAGCATCATGCACATACATTTCTTTATTTGGAAAGTTTCTGCAATCTATGTTGTTCCCTTTCCTTTTTGTTATATCCAATATACTGTAGGTCTAGTTAAGTCATATCAGAGCAGTTTTATTTATGGCAAATTCATCAAGACCTACCGTTGTGCCCTTAAATGACCTGAAGTTATCTGTTTGTACCAGTAGTGTGTACTCACTGACCTAGTTACTGACTGCTTACCCCATTTATTGATACATTTTTGTTCAGTATGTTCAGCAGCTATGATAGCATATCAATGGTGGCAAGGATTCATTAAAGGATGTGTCACTCTCATTTCTACTCTTACTCTTAATTTATAGGGAACTCCATTCTGGCAGGTATTAATCTTAATTATGGCTTTTACTCCACTGTGGTAGCATCCCTTCCCAAGTGACCAATGAGTTATGGTGAGCTGTCTCTCTGTAGAGTGTACGTACAGCACACAAGCTCTGCACAGTATATAGCATCATCTTTGGTTGTGAAGCTGGTGATCATAATAGAATATCCCTCAACAATTTAGCATTGTAGTATTTGTTTCTTCATGGCTGTGCTCCAGTATGGTTGGTAATTCCACAACAAAGACAAGAGAGAAAGTATGGCTGGGGCTTGTGGGCTATTTAAGTGGATATGTGTGCTAAGTAGTTTGCTGAAGCTTAGATTAGATCAGTGTACATGTTCACACCTAATCATAAAAACTGAGCAGTATCAAAACTAGCTGTGGACAAGAGTGCTTACCAGTTGCCATAAATGCCAAATATTTTAATGTGTTGGATGGGAAATGGCTGACAGGACAGGGAGTGTGTCCTAGCTTCCTGTGTTGATGAATGTGTTGTCTACATGTGCCGCTTCTGCTTGTCAACAAGCTGTATGCAGAGCGTTGTGCAGCGTAGTCACCAAGGGAAATATTGTAGGTGTGCCTGTCGGCACCCACCCATATCATAAATTTGCCAAATGATAGCCGGTCCCACCTTGGATGAATGCAAAGACTGTGAATAAAATAAGGATACTGAAACTTCCCTCGGTGAAATGCTATATGTCTGTGTGTTAAACTGTCAGCATGAGGTATCATATTACCAGACTTTCCTTTATCCTCTTGTCTTGCTGAAATTATCCATGCCAAAACTAGTGTCAGCCCAGAGGAACTGTGGTGGCAAATTAAGAATATACCAGGTCACTAACTCCAGGAATCACCTTCACACTTGCTGTGATGGTATTTAATGTCAGGTCTTAACTTCAGTGTAAGGTGTATGAGTTGACTTAACCTCTGCCAATATTTGTTTTTCCACAGGCAGGAGATTATGAAATGGAACGGCTGGGGATACAGCGATTCAAGATTCCTCTTCAATAAGAAAGGCCAAGCAGAATTTACTGGCAAAAGGTACTGTATGATATCACCTCACTGCTCTTAGATATACTGTTTATGCTTATCTGTTGACGATTTAGGTAAATCAGCGAGGACTACGCCTCATTCACAGCTTCTGATCTTGTTTTAGGACAGATGTTGTGTCTAGCTTCAACATTCAGACGTTTTGGTGGCTTGTGGCTGGAGTTGTGCATTGATCATTTTCACAGCCCATACTGTGAACCCAGCTTTTGAAATCTGTTGTTGTCTCCTTCCTACGCTCACAGCAATGTGGTGCTACTGCCACCCAGTGGCTGGCATTTGAACTGTTCATTGTCATTCGAGAAGGTCACTGGTTGTGATTTTCAGCTTTCCCAAACTCTTTGCTCGTAAACAGGAACCACTTTCCCATCTGTTAAAAAAAAAGTTATGTTATGTAATTGTTGATGTGTCTCTGGGGAGTTGTGGGTAAACACAGTTATTCACTGATTGTTGGAGAAAAAAGATTTAGTTTGAATATCAGAGAGTGTTCAGAAACAAAGCCAAGTTGTCCTCCGTCTTACTGACTATGGCTACAGGTTACAATAGAAAGAATGGTTCTCCCATGACAAGAGCAGAGGCATAGATGAGCCTTGTTTTTCATGACATATGACTTAGAAACAACCCTGCTTGTCCAATTTTAGAGAGAACGAGCAGGTTATGTATGAGGATGTGTTTTGAGTAATGAGTGGAGCTGAACAGGATGTTGCACAGCAAATGGTTTCCTCCTGTGTAAGCAGTTGCCTCAAACCAGTCTGTACCCTCCCGACTGAAAAGCTACCTGGGCGGCGTACAGTAACAGTAGGGCTTGAGTGCAGTTGAATGAATGTCAAAGACAGTGTTCTCCTCCTCTGTGCCCACTGTGACAGAGGCTTTTTCATTATAGAGTGTGTTTCATGGTCTCTTGGACAAAGGCACACCACAGTCCTCCTGATGGGCCGGCCCAGGCTGTGCCAGCAGCTCAATTATGCAAGGGATGGCGAGGGCGATCACACGGACAGCACTGTCACTGCTGCTCTGCTTGCCTAATAACCTCATTGGACTCAAACCTCACACTCTATTCTTATTATACACAGGCCTGGTTTTCCAAATGAATAAACCCAGTCAAGCATTTACATGTTTTGAATTGAGGGCTTTGACTTCTACTACTGGAAATCACTAATTCATGAGGCTCAGTTGATTTTTTATTTTATTTCATTTTATTTTAATTGGTTGTTCACACAATCTGTCTTTATATACACAATGCAGATATAGACTAAGTGGTATGATCATCCCCGGTCTGAAAGATTGGTTTGAAGGCACATTTGGAGCCAATCTGCAGCATAAAACGCCACCAACAGTGAGTACAATTCATTTTTATTTGTTGTGTCTTCAATGAATGACAAAGAATAGTCACAGTTACCAAAACCACAATGGCTTGTTTTGTTTCAGCCCTTACTGACCAACACTGCTGTACCGCCTGCCACACTTAACGAGGCCTTCGTGGAGGAAGTGAAATCCACAGGTATTCCCTTCTCTCATGACGCGGAGGATCGGGTGTTTCGCGCCCATGGTAAGGCATGCTGAGAGGAGACTTTGGACATTGTGCTCACCCACTTTGTCTAATTGTTTAGCATTGTTTTAAATCCAGCCACATTATTTTTATTTTGTGTCATCTCCTTCCTGTATTTTCTTCCAGGCCATTGCTTACACGAGATCTTTGCTCTGCGGGAAGGGAAAATCGGTCGTGTTCCAGACATGGTGGTTTGGCCAAGTGAGTTCAGAAGCTGTGTCATCCCTGCGTTTTTATCGGCCTGTTTTTCTCTACCCACGTAGCATCACTGATCCCCCTACTGGCTTACGTGATTTAAAGGGTTAATCTCTGCAGAGGCAGAGATATTAATATGTATGAGTGGAGGCTTAATAAGAAGCGTCAGGGGGAGGACGGTTGACACCCAATACTCCACGGTCTGGGCCTGCACAGTACACCCATGAATTATGATTCCGAGATTGGTTTTCTGTTGTTATGGCTGGCATCATTTTATCATGCAAATGAGTGTTGACTGATGGTTGAAACTTGATTAGCAGCTTCCCAAATGGGCAGCAAATCACCAAGCAACTGTAGGTATCGTTTCATCCACACCAGAACCAAATTTTAATTTTACCGACCCTGCAAATGCACTCTCATTTACTGTGTATCTAATAGATATTTTGACGTGTAATTTGCATTCCTCAGTAGTCCCTCCAAGTCAAGCTGTGTTTTTTAAGTGGAGGTTTAGTTTGTTGAACTGTAATCCGCAGGCACAAGCTGTGTGTTTAATTGGATGGCAAAATTTACTAGAATGCAGGCATTTCTCACCGCCTCTAAAAGCACTTGAGGCCAGTCAAGCACATCCATGTAGGAAGGTATTGCTACTCTTCCCACTCGCTTACCACTCCAGTGTGAATGGATGTGGGCTCTGGGATTGGCTAAAGCAAGTTTGTATTGATCCAGCACATCCCACCCCAGAGAGTGTAGCTTCATGCAGTCTGACTCTGCCTGAGGAAAGCCCCAGGCAAATCACAACTATCAGGCAAATCAAAAACGCACCCTGCCTCTCTGTTGCTCCCGCAGCTCTAATGGCTCAGGCCATATACATTTATTTATTGTCTTCGCTATACACATAGTGTTATGTGCCATGTTTTATTTCCTCTGCAATGTGTCTGCTACTGGTTATTATGTTAACACTTAATTTATGAATGCAATAGATGGCAGTAAATGAAAACATTTCCTTTATGATGGCCACTAATTTCTAAAACAATATTCTGTGTCTTTGCAGGCTGCCACAATGATGTTGTGAAAATTGTGCAACTGGCGTGCAAACATAATGTTTGTTTGATGCCATATGGAGGTGAGTAATGAAATCAGTGGCTGTAATCAGCATAATTAGCCGTCACATACTGTATAAATAGGCCACTAGATGTGTATTTACATTTAATGTACTTTAATATATTATCTATTCCCATTGCATTTGTTTTTTATTAATGAAGCCACATATTCTATCAATGAACCTGGTAAGTAAAGTAACTGCTGACAGTGCAGTAGATAGATACTATGCAGAATTTTATGTCTTGCTGGGTGTGTTTTGTACTGGAGCAACAGAAACAAATATTAGCAGGCATCATGCAGGGGCACTTCTCTAAGCATATGATGTCTGCAGTACCCTTCCAGTCTGGGGATTTCTATCATATGTAATACCTTTCTCCCTGTCACTCACTACTGTTTACTATATCATGATGACAAAATGCCTGAAATTAAACGTAGAAAGTAACAGCAGTTTGTCAACAGGTTAATGATGTAGTTGTCAGTCACACTTTTTATAATTAAATCCTGTAGTCTCCAGTCATTTTAGAAGAACAAGGATGTTTGCACTGTGTAAACGTTTCCTTTTAAACTGTATCTTGTATAACTGTCACTGAAATGAAGTCAGTCTCATGAAGAGCTGAGTGTCATTTGAAATGTCTCCATACTAGTGTCAATATGATACTTGAGTTTGCTACAAATACCAAAACAATTTTTTTTGATACCTTTCTGAAAAATCCCACTTTGAGAAATATAAAAACATTTTAACATTTTTTTTATTGAAACCAAACTTCTCAAACACAGATTGTGCTGCAATGAAATAGACTAAGTTGTGACAAGTTAAAGTGGAAAATATCTGATCACAGTAAAATGTAAACAACAACTAACGACTAACTTTCACTACCAGTTTTCACTACCTAATGCTAAAGACACATTTTAGACAATAAGTACTACAGTTTGATACCAAGCCCTATACTTCTCTACTGTAACTCACTGTAACTGTTGCTTTTCCTCTGTCAGGAGGGACTAGTGTCTCTAGTGCCCTAGAGTGCCCCCCGGAGGAAACTCGCTCCATCGTTTCTCTGGATACCTCACAGATGGTACGTAAACAACTGTCTGTATGTGACAAAAGAATTAATCTGGACTAATGACAAGAAAAACTTAAACCAACTCAAATGCAGAAAGTGCAAAAGTTTCTGAGACACAGTCTCAGAAACTTTTGTACTGGCTTTGATTTTTAAGAGTTCTTTATTTATGTATGTTTGTAAATGGTGATTGACAAAATATGAAAGATATGTTCTGATATTTTCTAAAAAACGTAAGAGATTGAGTGGAAATATGGTTAATTGTTTTTGGGTAGCTTTTGGTATCCTTTCTTAATGTTTCTTCTTAACTGATTAAAGAAAAAAATATGCCAAGTCAGATTTAACTGTTAACATAACAAAATGACAGTATTTAGTTACATTATTGGCATTCAGTAATAAACTTCCTTTTTTGACAGGCAGAGCACAGAACTAGGGAACTAACCCTAACTTAATTGACAGTGGTGGTCACTCAGCAATCTCAACCTTTATTTATCAACACCACACTGAAAAATGTAGTGTCCATGTTTTCATTTTTTCCCCCTGTGTATTTTAAAATGATTTATGAGGCAAAAACATTTCTGGCTCTCCCTTTTCAAATGTGAGGATTTGCCAAATTTGGGGATTTTTATCTGGATTATATAAAGATATAGTAATAGATGTTTGATAAAATATATATTTTTTTCATCTTGGGCTCAGGGAAACTGTGATGGGCATTCTTCTGTATTTTTTACTTATGTGAACCAATGAAAATAAGTATTAATTGCAGCCATAGTTAGAATTAGGATATTTGTTTTGTGTAAATAGGACACAACTCAATTCTTGTTGTTGAGATGAGAAATGTGTTACTTGGGCATCAGCGATTTATTGTAATTATCTCACCGTGAACATGGTGATGTCCCATCGGATATGATATAAAATGGTGAATATCGTCAACAGTACAGTACAACCCTTTGATCCAGGCTCACATAGACGTGATATATAAGCTGTCTGGATCCTGCTAGCCTACCAGTCATTGAGTTTGGTGCCACAGACACCAGTGACCAGTGTTCTGTGTCAGGGGTCAGGGGTGAGGTGGCTCCAATGGAAGCACATGAAAGGAGCAGTGTGGTTGGAACATAAAGTTTATTACCTCTGGAGGATAATTGATGGCAGGTGTGAAATGACCTCCTGCAGGTAGGGGTGGGCCACGTGCCCAGCGGCCCAAATAAAAGGCATATATTTGGAATTAGATGTTAAATTGAGTTTAACCTTGAGGACACTGTCTCCGTCCCGAAGCCCCTCTGCACACATTTATCCTCAGACATGTCAGCATCAGTTTAGAAGGACAAAACTTCCAGTATTGTAAGCAAACTGTCAAGGGACTGTTTCCATAGACTGCTGTTGAGTGCATTGTTAATGTCAGATGACAGACATGGTGATGCATAACATTTCTTATTGAGATTTTGTAACCGGCATCAAATAAATTTTGTGTTTTCATGTTAGACAAATGAAACAAACTGCATTATAGAGTATTTCTTTTATTTTGTATGGCATAACGCATGTATACATAATGTTTTATGACCTCCTCCCTCATGTTGTTTGTTTTTCCTTCACAGAACCGCATTCTGTGGATTGATGAGAAAAATTTAACTGCCCATGTGGAAGCTGGCATTGTCGGTCAGGATTTGGAGAGATTGGTAAGTACTACTCACCCATCCATCTTCATCCTCGGAAAGAGCTTACATTAAAATGTTGGGCTGACAATCAAGCTGTGTGACCATTCACATGCAGGTTGCCCGATGCTCAGTCACCTTGGTACTCTTTGCTCAGTAGATCTAACAGGGTTTAAGAAGGAGTTTGAGACAGGAGCAGAGTGCTGAAGGGGAGAGATTAGAGAGTGAGGCGGCGGTCATGAGCAGATGGCACCATCAAGCTAATTCAGAAAAATGGAGAAGGAGCGGGCATTTGATGTAGAGGAATGCGTGAGCTGCATCTAAAGCAGACTCCACCTCTGCATTTAGACTGGGCCATTTTGATGGAGCAGATGGGTCTGCATTATAAACTGCCTTCCAGGGGAGTGCTGTGATAAAACCAGGCCCGACTTAACCCCCGTCTTGTGCTTCTGGTGGGGGTTGTTGTTGTACTTTAAGGTCCTTATTATTATTGCTATTAAATGTTCTGCCCAAAGATGCAATCTTTTAGGTGTTGGGCTGCCTTAAGGAGAATGTGGGGGTTCCTTATGACCTACACATTCTCCTCCAAGCTGTAGGGATGGTGCATCTAATGAAAATTGCTGGGTTCCTCAAATGCTTTTATTTATTTTGTCACACTTTAAAATGACCCCAAAGTGCATTGTCACATTGTTCTGGCCATGTGGCAAGTAGGCAATAGGTCACTTGCAGTATTTTGTGGATTGGGTGGGGCTATGGAAACTGAATGTGTAGCAGTCTGCCATCCAGACTGTCTGTATAACACAAGTTTACCTAAACATGTATAAATGACAGTAATTGTAATTTTACTAGTATTGATGGAAAAAAAGCCTAAACATCTCATCTGGCACTGCCCAAATAATGCACTAATCTCTTTTTAGTCTTTTTGTTGGTTTGTTCCACTTGGTTTTTTTTAGGGCGTTGTAAAAATGTATGATTCCATAAAAACTGAGTTTTAGCATTGCAGCAAATTCAGCAGCAGAGCTGCAATTATTTTTTTTCCCCTTCGCATGCTCATTCTTTTTGCTTGTTATTAAAACATTCTTGTGGGTTTACAACGTCATTGTTTTCTCTTTCATTTTTTCACAGCTTAATGAGAGTGGCTACTGTACGGGGCATGAGCCTGACTCCATGGAGTTCAGCTCCCTGGGGGGCTGGGTGGCAACCAGAGCATCAGGCATGAAGAAGAACATCTATGGGAACATTGAGGACCTGGTGAGTTTCACGCCCTCCCCTTTACCTTCCTGCTCTTGTTTGTTCCAAATACAGGATGGCAGTCAGGACATTGCAGTTACTGCACAGTAATTAGAAAGGAAATTATTAGCAAGTTTTGTGGACTTTACCCTCCCTACAAAATGCAGTGGTCAGTGTGTCAGTTATGAAATGTGTTCATGCATGTGGCACACGTGATATCCACATTTTAATATTTTCCCAATATTTGTAAATCTGTGAAAGATAAGTCTACTATTGTTTTTGTCTCTAAAAAGTGTTGCTGTTTTCTGCCCTAATAGGTCGTCCACATAAAGATGGTGACCCCACAAGGGGTGATTGAAAAGAGCTGTCAGGGGCCACGCATGTCCACGGGGCCTGACATTCACCACTTCATCATGGGATCAGAAGGTTTGCTCCCTTTCTCATGTGATCGCTGTACACCAGAGCATGTGGGCACGTGTGTGAGTTTGTGTGTTGCTGTGGGTTTGTGTGCATGTCTGCAAGTCTTTGTGATAAAACAGTAACATCAGGACGTTTCTCATGCTTTGGGCTTTTTACACATTAACCAGCTTTGGTGGAAAAGTGATCTGGAGGGGTGTTAGTTAGGAACCAGCAAGTGTCCTCCCCACCCCATCTGCAGTGCCCTGTCCTTGTGAATGCCCACAGAGAATACTGCCATATGCCAGGTTCCCCCTACATAATGAGGAGGTTCAGAGACTCTTGGCATCGCTATGTTAAACAGCTGTGGATGCAAACTTTATATTCGCCCTACAAAGCTCAGCAATCTGCTCCATGACTGGGCCGGGATCACTGCAGAAATCTCCATTTGTACTCATTAGAAGTGATTTCAATACCAAGACAACCACCAGTATATAAAATCAACATCAAATGTGTTCCAAAATACAGTCACTAGTGCATAATGTAGACTAAAATTTAAAATGTTTTAACATGAAAGTATTGAAAGTATTATTAGTAATTAACAATTCCCGACAGCTTTTTAAAAAGAGTTTTTATTTTTAAATTACACGTAATGCATTATTGCAGGTTAACTTGCAGTATAAGCCTCAATGTGATAGTTAAGCCAAACTTTTATGAACTCACAATTAGTCTTCATGTTTTGGCAAAACTTAGTCATGTTTGTAATATTTTATCTTGTATGACTCAGTCAGTAAACATTTAATGATCTTAAGACAGAATATCATTATGCCCAAAATAGTTTTCCCGTAAGCTTGTGAGTTCATGGGGTTATATTGACTTGAGTATTTTCCCTTAACCTTACTTCAAAACTGAAAAGCAGTGATGGAAATAAAAATTACTTACATCAGGGCTCCTGAATTTAATAAATATCTATCTTTCCTGTGCATACTCGCTTTATTTTGAAACAAATTTATTTTGTGATTCCTTAATATTTGTACAGATCTGCTGTTCTCCTGACAAAAGGATATATATAAAAATATTAACAGCATCTCTCATAAAAACCTGATTAAACCTAAAAATCTGAAAATATATAAACAGTAGATTTTTGTAGCATGTACCATATCTCCAAAAACTGAGCTTTGAGGACAAAATACGACAACTATTAGTGAAACTGTAGTCCATGACAGCAGGTTGAATGTTTGAAAAGGCCCACTTTATATATTATGGCTAATAATAATAGTCCTAATGCTTTGTAATGCACACATAAGAGTAGGTTGTGTAAAGAATGCAAGCTTGCTACTGAGGCTTGGTGCTGTAACAGAGATGGGACAGGACCACACATCACTGGGAGTACATGTACTTCTGGGAGGCCTAACGCTGGACCTAAGAGGTCACACCACCGCACGGTCTCATTAAAATTATCTACATCCTCACCCCAGAAACAGCATCCTGCAGCCTGACAGCAAGCCACAACAACAACAACAACAACAACAAAGCACCACACTAAAACCCTTAACTCTGCTCTGCATGTTAAGTGGAACGCATCCATTTTATCAGAAATTACTGTGAAACCTCAAGCTTCTCATTCACTGCACAACAACCGGGTCTCTCTATCTCTCTGACCTTGAAGTATCCTGAATGCAAAGTATTTTCTTCTCTCTTGCTTCAGCCAGTGTAAAGAATGATTGGAATAATCAATGATAATCCCTTTTCTCTTTTGAAACTCCTCAACCGTGAAGGTTTGTAATGTAGGTGCGTGAAGCCAACCAGTGAGTCAATTCTAAAGTGGTGGCTTCACTGTTCAGAAATATTTGATGCTAGAAGCAGAGGGACATTGCAAATAGTCCCTCTCCCCAAACACTGTGAGTGGAGGTTGGTTTAATAGAGACAGTCACAGTAGAAACGGCTTAAGCTTCACTCCAGCATTTCATTATATTGCGTTCATCCCCAAGAGAGTGTTTGTCTGACCTTTCTGTCCTTATTGCCTCACTTTATTCCCCGCTCGCTCACCCACCCTTACTCCCTTCCACTTTAGCTCCTCCCTATCTCTCTCTCTCTTTCTCTCCTTCTCTGACTCCTCCTCACTCGCAGCCTCAGTGGCTCCTCCCGTCTGCTGTCAGGAAGGAGGGGGTCTTTTTTTTTTTTTTCCATCTGAGGCCTAATGGAGTCACATGTTTTCCACTGAGCCACTAGGGAGCAGCGTGTGGCATGTAGTGTCACTGTTAGAGGGCTCATTAACAGCCATAACAGGCCAAGGAAGCCTCCTAATGGAACAGACTATATTCAGGAGAGATTCGTCTCTAAATGGACATCGTCTATACCGTACTGTCAATGATTCTAACACAGAACATGCAGGCTGTGGGAGGCAGTAATAGGTTTGGTCTGCGCTGCTAAAATTCACTAGCATGGCATTAGGTGTGCAACTAACAATTATTTTCATTGTTGGTGATTTCTTTGATAAATTATGAAACCAATTAAAGGTCAGAAAATCATTATTAATGCCCATTACAAGTTAGGGATAGACATCGTGATTTGTTCGACCAACAGTCTAACAACCAAACATATTTCATTTATAACAATGGACACATTATAAGATGTAATCTCGGATCAGTTTTTACCTTCAAAATCACTGTAGATACACTGCTGTGCAAAAAGCTAAACACACTTCGAGTAACGGATGAAGACAGGAGTTGGCCATCAGAAGTTTTTACTGAATTGTGAGAATGTAAAAATATTTTTGATTTGATTAAAAATCAATACACTTATTGGTAGTGAAAAGAAAAATATGAGATACCATTATCTAGAATAAGACAAGAGATATTATAAAATCACTTGTTTCAGTGTCTTCAGCTGCAGCAGGCAGCTATTTTCAGTGAAAAAGCTCTAACAACCCAGTGTACACTACCTGCTCAGCAGACACAGTTAGAGACTAGCTGTGAACACAGTGGAGCATTTAGCAGCTAACGATCCAGACATTTCCCACAGGAGTTGAAAGAGGACAAAAATGAAGCTAAAAGAGAATATTGGACTTACACTTACCATGTGGACTCCAAATGAATTATATTGTTGCTCTGTAACTGCTGGTTGTGTAAATAAGCAAATGTTTGCCACATCAACTGCAAACTTGATGATATGTCAACGTTACATTCACAACTTGTTTCTACTGCCATTAAGTGGCCAAAAAACAATGCATATGATAATATACATTTAGTTTACAAGAGTAGAGGTAAAATGAGTAAAATACATACCAAACGTTAGCCCGTTTTGAAATAGATACAGGATGTTCTGTTAGAAATAAGCCTCAAACACATAGAAGTGGTGGTTATAGTTTGGTGGATGTTAAGATACATTTTCTTTATTTAGTGTTGTCTCATTTAGATGAAAGCGGGACTAGAATTCCTTCTGCTGGGATTTATTGTGGCACAAACTATGGTTGTTGTTTTTTTACCATGTACTTTGTGTGTCCGTCAAACTTTTCCCAAATGAAAGAAAGAAAAAGAATGAAAAGAAAGTCAAAGCCTGCATCTTCTCCAGTACATTACTAACATTATTACAAACTAATTTGTGGTGGTGTTTTGTTGGACTTCATGTTTTGTTCACTTCATGCACAAAACAAAAAACATCTTAAAACATATTCTAAAAATAAAAATAAATATGTTTATGTATAAATTTTTTTATAATAAATAATACTAATGTTACATATTTCATGGATATCAAACAGCACTCTCAGTTTACCATATTTGGATGAAAGCGGTTATTTTGTATTTTATTGTTCCCAGGCATATTTGCTTTGTAAGAGAAAGTAGACGCTGGTTTTTAAACCTGCAATGTGACTCCTTCAGCAGCAGCTATAATGGTTGACAGTTTTCAGGGTCATAAGGTCAGCCAGAGGTTTTGATGTACCTGTATATGTGTTGCCGCGGTTTTGCCTTTGATAGAGCCCTGCTTTATTTCCTCATGCTCTAATGATAAATCTTAGTCGTCCCCCAGTGTGTGGTAGAAAACCAGATATACTAGGTGAAATGTGAGACAAAGGTCACCCAAAGGCCCCTTGGGACATGTACCAGAGCCCTGTAAAATGGTCTTAAGTTCCGCTCTAAGACAGGGTTAGGTCATATAAATTGTGGGAACTGATGTGCTTTTTGTTTTTTTGTTCTACTCAAAATCTGTCACTGTGATTTTCCACAGGAACCCTGGGTGTGGTTACTGAGGTAACGATGAAGATTCGTCCCATGCCGGAGTATCAGAAATACGGCTCGGTGGTATTCCCTAATTTTGAGCAGGGAGTTGCCTGTCTTCGAGAAGTTGCTAAACAGGTAACACGTTGATCTATCCTTAAACATACGTGGCTTTGTCACTGCCTTTTCTCCCTGTCTCAACATGAGGCTAAGGCCAGAAACTTTCTGAGTGTGTTGGAGGTTTGCCCAAACTGCACTAAGCACTTTCAGGTCTTCATTTCAACCTCTTCACTTGTTTAAAATTGACCTGCCAACAAAAAGCAGCGAAAGGATCTAAATGTATTTTTAGACCTACTTGTACACTCTGTTGAAACCTTACCAGTCTAAGCTAAGCTATCCCCTGTAATGTAATGACAATGCCAGTACAAAGCAAATCAAACTTCACAGTGCCAACTGGAACTTTTTGTCAGATGCATCAAGCTAAAGGGAATAAAGTATATGTCTATAAACATCAAACAAGAGGCCTAAAGCTTTAAAGCCAAAGCTCCAGCAGTTGCATTGAATGTTGAAAATAATACATATTGGTTGAATTTGGTCTGATATCATTTGCAAGCTTTATTTTTGGCATTTTGTTTTTGTAGGAATTTGTTATTCAAACAAACTAATATAGACCAACTTTTATTTTTCAGAGGTGTGCCCCGGCATCTATACGACTCATGGATAATGAACAGTTTAAATTTGGTAAGCTTTGTTTGATCGTTTACAGTACAGGCCAGCCTAGACTTAAAGCATTGTCCTCTTAGTGCTTTATGGTAACCCTTCGCTGTACAAGTAGGACTTGATTTGACCTGGTTCTCATTTTCCTTTTAGACCCCAGTTTAACCTCTGGTCTCTCGCATCATAGAGCTTTACAACACGAGGCAGACTTTTAACCAGCAGTATGATGATAATCATATTTATTTTGAGTTGAAATGTGTTTCTCTTACTGTATTTTCTTCGTCAATATGTGGGTTGGTGTTTCATTGATGTACTGTATACCTCTGAGAGAAGAACAATGAATGGCAATGGCACAACATGCAACGATTTTTACCTTCTACAGCACAGAATTATTAAATTGATTATCATTTCTGCAGCAGAATAGCTGCACACACGCAGACAAAGAATTGAAGCAAGATGAAAAATGACCCTGGCCAAAATTAAGTAGTTGTTACATTGAAATTTTATGATGTTGTTTCTTAAGGTCTAGTGGAATGCATCTGGCATTGCCAGAGATCTCTGTAAAGTTCCCCAGTCTCCAGGGATCTCATTATCTCCCCTATATTTCCACTTTTCACAGAGTAGGCAGTTCTTAGCATTAAGTAGGGAAGATGAAGCGACCAGGTTTTTCACTAATAACTAAAGCTCATGGCTCTATGATACCTTCTTGGGCTTATTAGTGGCTTGTCCTCACTTTTAATCATGTTGGCTGTTGAGTAAGGAGAGTTGATGTATTCACAGGTCTTTTTCAGATTGGGACTACAAGTACAATTTAGCACTGCCTGTCTTGATGCACAAGATGAAAAATGAGAATGTTGTAGTAAGTAGTGTTGCAAAAAAACCCAACCAAACCACGGAGGGGAGAGTTAAAAGTAAAATTATAATCAGTGTAGGTGTAATTTTCTCTCTCTGGATGTTGAGTATTTAATTAACGAATATGATGGCTGTGAGAGACCTAAAGACCTGCAATCAAATTTTGGAATGGAAACAATTAGGACACTAAGTGATGAAGAGACTTGAGCATGGGGGGAAATAAATGAACTGTTAAGTCTCGGCGACATCACCCGTGACTTCCCCGCTGTGATTGATAACCATCCCATTGGCCCCAGCCCCTCATTTTCGCTTGTCCACAGGCGCTTTTGTGCGTCCGATCAGGAATAAATCAAAAAGTGTGGGTGAGGAAGACGGATATCGCTGTGTCAACCCCACTTCCCTTCGGAAACCATCTGATTTATAGTCGCTGTCGCTGGCAGCCACTGGCCAGTTGTAAAGTTATTCAAATGTTACCATTTATATTTCCTCCTTTTGTTTGAAACCCCAAATAAATCTGACTCGCTTGCCCTCTCAGAACGCTGGCGGATGCAAGCAGAAGCAGGCTAAGACTAATGTGTGTGAAAAATAATAATCAGTTTTTCAGGCGCACTTCTTTGTGAATAGATGGAGCTGACTCTTATCTGATATCTTCACAGGTCATGCCCTGAAGCCTCAAGTATCTTCAATTTTCACATCCTTTTTGGACGGGTTGAAGAAATTCTACATCACCAAGGTAAAAAAAATTGTTAGACCTGAGCGTCACGAGTTGCTTGCCCCAAGTGTTTTTCATGAAAAATGAATCCTCCTCTTTTAATCACCAGTTCAAAGGGTTCGACCCCAACCACTTGTGTGTGGCCACCCTACTGTTTGAGGGAAACCGTGAGAAGGTCCTGCAGCACGAGAAGCAAGTTTATGACATCGCTGCAAAATTTGGGTGAGCAGTTATTTTTTTCTCTCCTCCTCCTGCCTACAACGATGCACGTCCCAAAGATCAGTTTTTCCCGGCCGTGTAAAGTGCGGAAATGACAAAGCACCATTTGGTGTGACTTTGAACATGATGAGCTGCCTGAGGCGCTGATGTCACTTTATTTAACCAGCCATTATGTAGTAGCAGCAAAAAGGATGGAAAAGCACAGTTACACACTTCAGACTCTGCCTTCCACTCAGTAGTTTGTCTCTGTGTGGATTGATGGATCACCTGTGGATGTCCTCCTGTCAGGCCAGCTTTTATGTTAAAGTAGGTGTGGTGTGGGCAGTGATAGTAGGCCGCAGCTCCCCTCAGGACAGCACCGGGCAAGAGGACACAATCTGGGAGTGTTTCGTTGTTGTGATTGATCATTTAACGGATCAATGAGGCCTTTTGGTGGAAATCAGTTTCCTGTCAACCTGAGAGGGATGCTCTCTCTATCCTGCCTGTTTTAAACCCCCAACAATAGTTCTGTAGATGAGTTTATCCTAACATTAATTAACCTTTGTGCCTTCCGTTTGGTTGTTGTGATCAAGAATTATTGTTTATTGGTGATGTTTCAACACATTCTCTTACTGAAACATACCCAAAAAAATGCTCTATTCTTCCATCTCTCTATTACTGATATATTTCAACCATCATTTGAAAGTAATACCAACTAATCAGAAACAAACAGCTCATTACAACACAAGTTTAAATATGGGACAATATGGGATCCTCAGTGCTCCTCACTGGGCTGCTTATTGATCATATATTACTGTTAGTGTTACACACAGTTTGGCCCAGATTCGCAGGTAGCTAGAGCTCTGCTCTAGTAAGAGCCAGCAATTAAATAATAAGAAACTTGTCAGTTACATGCAGCAGCCTCTGCTTTATTGCATTATTTCACATAATCAAGATCACCCATCAGATCAAGTGCCAGTGATGGATTGGTGCGGCTCTGTGAGGAATATTCTTCTTGTGGTGTTGGCCAAACAGGAAGAAGGGTGATGATCAATATAGTGATTTTGTAATGAGCTTGGCCTGATTAGTTTGGGTGGTAGATGAAAATTTGATTACCCACTGCAGGTGATGGATGTGTGGCTGACCTGTGGTGATGCACGGAGCATAGCTTCATTGATCTGTACATTGTTGGATTGACAGGCTCCCAGGCAGCTGTTGTGAGGGGAGCGGACTGAGCAACAAAGCTAAAAGAAAAGAGCTGTTAAATATTAACCCTGTTATCTGCTTCCAGGGGCCTGGCAGCTGGAGAGGACAATGGGCAGAGGGGCTACATGTTGACCTTCGTCATCGCTTACCTTCGGGTGGGTCACTACTCTGGCTTTTTTTTTTTTTTTGCCTGAGCTGATGGGCAAGTGGGGCGGGCGAGGAGGACGCAGTCTGACAGCAGATAGGATAGTGAACAACACAGAAAGGTTGCAGAATGTGACCTCGGGAGGTCTTTGATTTGATCTGGTCACAGTTGTTGTCAGGGGGTCTAACACTGAGGTATCTACATTATGAGGAGAGCACAGTGGTTGCAGTCAAAATGACAATAGAGAGCTGTCTTAGGTCAGTCCTGTTAGAGGACCTTTTGGAGAAACAGAACAGAAACATATAAATAAGCAAGGAGGGTTTACATTCATTTAAATAACTATGTAGTAATAAGCTTACTTAAACATTGTGTGTGAAAAACGTATTTCCCCAGCTAGATTTCTCCTGGAGAAAGCTTATTTCTAGACATGTATATGGGTAATTGGGTTTATAATTTTTTTACATGTGGATGACAAAGACTTCAGACATGGAAAATGTGATATCAGAGCAGCAGACTGAAAGGAAAAATCATTACACGTAGTAATGCGTCATCCAGCGAAAACTGAAACAGACACAAAGTGGCCTCTAGAAATCTAAATAAGCCAGTTTCCACAGGCACTCAATCAGCTTCAGCTCCCTTCAACCTTTTTTCTTCTACAACTGTCACTTTCCACACAGACTTGTAAAATGTAACCATCTATGCAACCAAACTTACTCATTTGAGGTATAAATCTAGCTAAATAAACTTAGAATTGTCTGAAATTGCTTTATTTAACACATTTTTGACATTGCACACATATTTCACTGCATTGAATTCAGACTATTTTAGAATTTCAACTCACTCTAAGGGAAACCTATGCTCTCACTATGGAGCCTGTCCACCCGTTGTGTTGTCGATACAAATGTGCCAATAAAACAAAAACAAATGATGCACCGTCTTCTATCACAGCTGAAATCAGCCATAGTTCCAACTCAAGGCTGGTTGTAGTGGAGAAATCTGACTGCTGATCAGTTCATGTGGAGTTTACAGGATTTTCAACAGCCAGTTTTGTACAGTTCATGTGAACCTGTGTAACCGGATTCCCTCCACTATCTTGGTTTCTTTTGTGCATGTGAATTTACTGAATGATCATTAATCTATCAACCTGCTAATGCTAATATTGTTTTCTGAGCAGGACTTAGGAATGGACTACTATGTGATCGGGGAGTCCTTTGAAACATCTGTGCCTTGGGACAGGTAAATACACTGATATGAGCTGTAGGATTCTTTCCATTTGATTTAAATAGTTGTTAACATTCTTCTTTACTCATCTTCCACACAGTCAGTCCTAAGAGAGTCCTCTGTCTTCCTGCTGCTCCTGTTTCCCCTCCTTTCTTTTATTTCTGTTTGCCTCTGTCTTTGACATTCACCTTCATGCCTGCCCCGCCGCCGCCACACACACATTAACTGGCTCTGCGTTGGCGGAAGCTTTGCCTCCTCAACCTACGAACCTGCCATTATTGACACACACACACACACACACTCGCTATAGGAGAGACCTATCTGTGTGATAAAATGCAATGTGAGACACACATTCATCTCACATCCACATCTCGTGTGTTGTGCATTTTCTACATGGTTTCATCATCATTCTCTTACACACACACACACACACACACACACACACACACACATTCACAAACACAAACAACAACAACTAGGAGCGCACACAGCTTCGTGTTGTGTAACATGCCTGACGGGAGAGACCAAGAGATCAGGCACTGAGGCGAGCATATGTGCCTGGCTCATTACCCATCCTCCTCCCCATCCTCCACACTACACACACGGCTGCACATGCTTAGGACTGGCGGCCATTTCCACACCAGTGGGAACCTCTCCCACAATGGTCGTAATGTTTTTAGTCTCTCCTCCTCCTTCTCTTTTCTGGCCTTGTGTCTTTTTCTGGATTTAATAATTCTGCATTGCTAATTAACTCAGTTTAATGAAAGTTCCCTATGCAGTATTACGTTTTAAATACACAAATGTCACAGTTTAGACCACTGTTGTGAAACTCATTTTATTATTCTGCTTTATCTCTTTTTTAATAAAAATATTCCAATAAAATCCTGCCATTTACTTTGTTTCAGGGTGTTGGACATTTGCCGGAATGTAAAGGCACGCATCATTCGAGAGTGTAAAGATAAAGGAGTGCAGTTTCCACCGTTATCCACATGCAGGTAATGTTTGAAAATAACAGTTTTAATGCAAATTGAGGCTGATTGTAGAGAACTCTCCCACAATCTATTTAGAGAGAAGTGCAAGTACATTACATAATTTATGCACCAATATCATAACAACACTTTTGCCCATCAATCCTTGTCATCCAACAAAAAAAGCCAAAGTTCTCAAATGTTAAAGGAGAAGTCTGCTGTTATTCTATATTTTGCTTATTGTCTAAAAATCCCATGAAAAGACCAAAACCAACAATGTGTTGCAAAGTTTTTAATCGTCTGTGGATAATAATGGAGCTCTGTGGCACAGAGGAATAACATACATCAGGCTTTGGATCCACAGGCAAAATATGTTAGAAGGAGAAAGAAAAATATAGACATCCTTTAAATATTGTTCAAACACGAAGAGCCGAGAAGAACTTTGCTGAAATGAAATGAGTAAAATTGTCTGAATTTTGATATAACTCAGGAACTTTGTGATAAAAAATTAAGCACAGAAAATTATGACTCTGATCAGATATTCACTGTCAACTCTTGGTACTTGATAATCTACATTTTGATCAATACCAAAAAAGTAAGTTCCCACTCCTAACCCCCGAACCCTGGTGAGTTAGCAAGAGCCACACACACCCAAACAGACGGACGGACAATCGGACAAACAGAAGGCGAGCTGGTTGAGGAGCACCCAGCTTCTGCTGGCCGATTGCGAACAGATTAGGCCTCAGCCTGATTATGCTACAGCCATTCATTTCCCGGCTGCGGTCTGTCACATGATTGATTTGTCCATTTAACCTCTAGAACAGTCAGCGTGCCAGGTGATGGGCCATGTCAAATGAACAAGGGCTCTGCACCCTGCTCCTGCGCAGGGAACGAGGCCAAACAGAGAGAACCTGCAAACCGGAGACTCATTTTATTCTTAGCAAAACAGTTTTTACACATGTTGATTTTATTTGAAATGAACAATAAGGATATTTTGTTCTGTGTAAAACCACAAACCGATCTATTTTCTGAGTCATCCCATTAGCTGCTCAGATGATTCCGTAAAAAGCCTTTGATGGCCATTTAATGTCTGATAATGTTATGTTATTAAAGGTGACAGTGCTTCCACGCTGCGTCTGCTTTCTGGAAACCATGAATGGAATTGAGGTCAGGGGTTCACCGGGGAAAGTCAGACCTCCCACTTTACTTTGTCTTCCGATTATGAAGAAAAAATGCATTTATTGTACGAAGCGCCTTTACCAAACACTGCACATTGGATTTATGTAAATTATATTTTCAGCACTGAAGGGGAAACATTAAGGAGTCTTTTCTGCTTGTTTAAACATGACTCTTACGTGTTTTCTCACAGGGTGACTCAGACGTACGATGCTGGTGCCTGTGTCTACTTTTACTTTGCCTTCAACTACAGGGGACTCAGTGATCCTGTACATGTGTATGAACAAGTGGAGGTATGACCAGTTTCATTTTTACCAACATTATGACGCAGTTCAGTCCTTTCATAGATCACAATTACATCTGATGTGATGATATGTTGAATTTTATATAATATGGCTTTCTAAGTATGGTTTTATTTGTTGTATTTCCCAGCATGCAGCTAGAGAAGAGATCCTTGCCAACGGAGGGAGCTTGTCACATCACCACGGAGGTACTAAAACCTACACAGATTCACTCACAAGTATAGCATTGAATTGGATGGCATATTTGCACCTTCTCTCAGATTGTAATTTATTAAAAGAGCTTGCACAGAGTGGAAAAGACAGCATGGCGAGCTTTCCCAGCGTGCTCTTCCATGCTAGCGAGCAGGCGGCCAGTCGCGTTGTAAATGTGCATTTGGTCAGAGATCTTTCATTGCTTCCTTCACGTGTCCAAAATATGTTCCTGCAGCTCAGATGAATTGCTCTGACTTGGCTATTTGTTCATTTCAGCGGTGACCAAATGAAACGTGAGCAGGGGAGGGCAGCGTAGCAACTCTCCGGGCCCCATCAGGGCTAACCGAAATGGCTGCCTTATCTATATTGCCATCCGCCTCGCTGTTTTCATACATCACTTCAGGCTATTCATCACACCTGTCAAAAACAGTATGCAGTGAATCAGCTGCGATATTAAATCACAATTTTTCCTGAAGGCGGGGACGGGTTCAAAATTAAAAGATTGCTAATAAAAAGGAGGCGGTGGGCCGGGGTAAATGATGCCGCCGTTATCGCCGGCTGTATACTGACCTCCAAACGGTGGCCCAGCCACCCCGAGCAGCACGGGGAGGTGACAAAGGGGGGGAGAGAGAGGAGGGGATATTGATGCAGCTCCCGCGTGCGAGGCCCACTCTGTAATTGTGATTAATAACAGTGGGGCTCGCTATCTGGGCGAAGACAGGCCGGTTTGTCTGCCCACAATCAGCGCTTGACAAATGGAGCTAGTTTCACTGGGTTTTGTGTATCAAACAAAACAGATGTAGTCAAGGATGGTGAGGTGGGAGGGCACCGGAGGAAATATACATTTTTGTGGCCCCTGTATTTACAGCAGGTCAGTGTTGTTCTGCGTGGGCGTAGGTAAGGGAATCTGGGCGTGTAGAGCGCCGCAGGACATAATACTCAGTATTTGTGTGATGGACAGCAGCCAACACACGGCTGTTTTAGCTTGACAATTTTAGCTTTTTTAGAAGGAGTCAGTTTATCTCTTACTAAAAGGCGAAAGCTCAGTTATATGTTTGATTATTCGGCGGTTCTGAGAGCCAGAACACTGGGAGAAGTGTCCTCTTAAACTAGGTCACCAGTGTCGCAGCGGTGAAGAGTTGTTGAACATCCATCACCAGGAGAGTCGTCCATCTATCAACCTGCGCCGCGGCTTCTCAGCCAATACCCCGGCTCGGCCATATCACAGGAACGCAGGGGCCGCTACCTTACCCTGTCTTTCATGTCCTGACCCCCATTTGTCAGAGAAGCCCGGGGAGAGTGAGAGCAGCGTGTCGAGGGGTTGAGGCTCAGGCTGGCCTCCTCTGTATGAGGGCCCACCCCAGGGTGCGCAGTATCTTCACCTCACCTTGTGGCTCTGCAAAGCTCCAATCTCGCTAACTCTGCCAAGCGCCACCTCCACACAGCGCACAGAGGAGATATAAAAATGACCTGATTAAGTGAAGTTCCCACCTTGCCTCTTCGCCCCGCGCTTCCCCAGGCTTTTCCACACGAGAGAAATATGACACTTAAAAGAAAACAAAAAAAAAACCTGTCATTTCTGAAATAACTACCTGCACTTCTTTGCATGTCTCAGCTGCACAGACCAAGCTCGGTGAGATTGATTGCAATAGCAAGCAAAAAAGAGAGAATATGACAAGATAGATGTGTAAATTATCACAGTGATGGAGGCAATGATGCAGTCCCAGCACCTTCTGTTTTCTCTCCTTTTCCTGAGAGGAGGGGAGGGATGGAGGTGGAACAAGGAGGAAGGACCGAAGAGGAGGAGGTTGTAGGGAGCAGGGTACTTTCTTAGTTATTGGGTAGCAGCTGATTGGTGCCTCTGTCACCATCTGGAGGTGCGTGTGGTATCAGAGTCCCCGGTGACCCCGCTGTCTGCCCTGTTTTGTCAGGAGACGGGCCTCACTAGCCTCATGGCTGATCCCCATCTGGGTTTCCTGGCTGGACTCTGATAACACGGCGCACTAATGCCCCCCCCTCAACATGCCCTATTAACACTGGCGCTCCCCTGCTAGAGGTGCAAACAGAGGCGGCGCAGAGAAGGAAGGGAAGGCGTGCAAACACTCACATCATACACCTTCCTATTTTCAGGCCCCCATTATCTAATCTCAGGCGATTACTCTGCGAGTTTTAGGTGTTTACTCAGCGAGCAGCACCTGTTCTAAGCTGCTCTGTTCTCAAATTTATCTTTTTTGAGTTTTGAAATATAAATATCATGTGTTTCTTTTGAGTTGACATGACCTCCAAAAGTTTACATTTACCCAGCTTTGATCTGACAGAGTGAAGGTTTCTTTAGACTGACTTTTCAGGCATTATGTTTTCTTGATTCGTTGTTGTTTATTTCTTAATGTAGCCAAGCCATAAAATAAGCTGATCCTGCAGGGTCCACCTTAGATAATATTGTACCTTAGCGGTTCAAATACTTCAACAAACGTACACTTCCCAAAAAACCCCACGACACCCAGTGAGTCTGGGGCGTTTGGGGCCCCTGGCAGTTGCCTGCTTAGCTCAGTAAAGATCTTTGTTGCCCATGTTTTTGTCTGTCTTCTACTGTCTCAACCATCGAATCAAAAGCAAAAGGCCCCCACTGTGAAAGCTCAAAGTAGATCCTCAGTGGCCAGATTGTGGGTTGATTTCACCCCAAAACAAAACTGCAGCTTTCCTGGCTTGTAGAAAATGTAAAGTTTCTATTTTATGTGAAGTTCTGTAACAAGAGTTTGGCTCTGCAGTGAGGTTTTCCCAGTCCTCCGCAGTCACCAGACCTCTCGCTGGCTCCAGACTCTCCGCTAAGAACCTGTCGGGTACAGACGCTGTGGAGTATGTCGGACTGGACAGCTGGTGAAGCAATGGGCACCCTCACTAGGCTTCGTGCCACAGCCGCTCTCGCTCCTCAGGTTGGGGGGTTTGGAGGAGGAGGGAGGGCGAAGAGCGGCTGAAAGCCAAAGTCCTGCTGACAGAGGACCATTGTGCGGTGCTCCACGGTTGGCTTTGGCACCCTGTTGGTGATCAGGCCAGTGTCAGAGGGCGCAGAGCGGCGTTCGGGACAAGCAAGCACAACAGCCTCGCGGGTCAGCTGCAGGAGCGAGCTCGTGTGCACAATGAGACAGAAACACACACAGAAAAAACGCTCCAGTGACTCTGGAGGGAGGGAAATGGAGGGGAGTGGTGGCTCAAAGAGTGAGGGAGCCGGGGACGGCCCGCTACAGCCGCCAGCCGGCCCCTCCTCTGGGAACACACAGAGCCTAATGAGTTTGATAGTCTGCTGAGCTCCATAAATCATGCCATGCAAAACATTTCTCCTCTCTGAATAAAAGCATTTATCACCCTCTGTTTATTCACTCACTCTCACAAGATTGATTGGCTCCCAGCAGCCTGCTGAGCAATCAGCCGTGCCGATTCCTCTATTTCTCCCCCTCAGTCCTCTTCCTTGAGTTTATTTATTTATTTATTTTCTCTCCTCTGTCATTCAGTGGGGAAACTTCGGAAGGAGTGGATGAGAGACACCATCTCCAATGTCGGCATGGGGATGCTCAAGTCTGTCAAGGACTACGTGGACCCCAATAACATCTTCGGCAACAGGAACCTCCTCTAATCTCCCCCCCCGTCCATCTTTAATCTCACCTTTTTCTAAAAGCATCTTGTGCATTTTGGATTAGTAGATACTAAATGAGAATTTAAAACGGAGAGAGATCCGTCTTTTTCATCAAAAAGAGTCATTCGGTGCCATTTATTGATTCACCTAAACCTTTTTTTCTTTTACATTATATTGCACTTAATATGCTGTAACAATCATTGTCATTCACCTTGAAGCTCATTCTTGCCGTTGAGTCGTGGCCTCAGCTTGTCGTCAGAGCTACAGCCACAATGCAACCCGACATGATGCAACAAAACCTTGATTTTGTGTCACATTTGCTAATGTCTAACAATCTCCTCAATATCCTTGCCAACGTGGTTTATTCATCTGTTTGTTTTTTCTTTCCTCTTTTGTGTGTGTGTGTGGGGCACTTCTTTAGTGGTAAGTTCTAGATGAATGCACTTTCTAAAGCTCTGTGCCTTTCTAAAGCTTTTGTCTGCCTTCCCCTTCTCCTACTTCACCCTCTGCTGGTGTATAAGTGAGTCCCTTTGTGAAGCAAAAGTAACTTGAACATGATGTTTTCTGTGTCTCCAGTTCATGTTTTTCTTGCCCTCATGCCTTTTGTTGTACTGACCTATTGCCATAAGAGACTTTTTGTGGACTGTGTGTGTGTGTGTGTGTGTGTGTGTGTGTGTGTGTGTGTGTGTGTGTGTGTGTGTGTGTGTGTGTGTGTGTGTGTGTGTGTGTGTGTGTGTGTGTGTGTGTGTGTGTGTGTGTGTGTGTGCGCCTCTGCTGACAAACCTGTTTGACTAAAGCCTTCCCCTCTGCCCCACCAAATTTTAACCCCTTCCCCCCCTCCTAGAAGTACAGTATGGTTACAAAGAGAGATATTCCTTGTGTGTTTTAGTTTTTTTGTACTGAAAGCGTTTACCTTGCATGGTTTGTTAACTGAGAAAGTGAAGTGGAAAAAAGCCATCGTGTTTTTTCAATCACGCCAGCTTCAATGTGACCGCGTTTGCAATTTAAGGCCTCTGGATCCCGGTGCTCACGTTGTACCAAAGACTCAACACATCAGATCATGCAAACATACTGTAAACACGTGTTTAACCGTGTAACCACCACCCTCGCGCACATTTAGTGACTTCATGCACAGCTAAACTGTATTTTTTTTTAATCAGCATATGCAAAGAATAACCCTTCTGAGAGTGTAAAATGTAGATATTTGTGACTGTTACATGTGCTAAACTTTGTTAAATGTACATGTGTCTCATGCTTACTGTTTTGAATTATTTCTGATCCATATAATTGGTGTTGCCCAGATGATCTCCTGAAATAGTTTGCCTTGTTGGTGTATCTGTGTGAAGGTTTTTGGAGTGGGTACTGTAACGTACCTTTTGATACCAGACTTGTACCATTTGTCACTGTTAACCATTGATTTTTGAAGCAAAGTAAAGCTTTCATTGAGCTCCGTTTGCTGAAGAATCCTGCCTTCCTTCTGGTCTGTGCTTCATGTTTTCCTGGACCACCATCTCCTTCTAATCCATATTTCCCCCCCGAATAAAAGGACTCATTAGGGACTCGTCATCTGACATTTTACCCCCCTTGTGTCAAAACCGTGCGAGAGCTTTTTGAATGTTATGGATGTACCTTTTTTTTTTTGTTATTTTCCACTTCTCTTAACAACGTAGTAACATCCAAGTACATTTTGTCACTGCTGTTTGTGCAATAAATTGAACTAAAACATCCCAGTCGTTGGTTTCTCTTTCAGCTAAAAACCACAACACCATTCAGAGAGCCGACATTTCCCACTCTCTCTCTCTCACACATCGTTTCCAGTTCAGCTCTTCAACAGTAGCCTTTATTTATGTTGTCAGACAGTGCTGGGAGGGTCAACAGGAGCCTGAGAGCAGGGTTCTTTTTGTTTGCTCTTCCTCTACCTGCGTCACACTGAGCTCAAGGTAATCCAGCACAGAGGAGTTTAACTGAGCCTGTCTTTTGCTTCCTGACAGGAAGGATTTTTTATTTATTTTTTCTCTACACACAGGCTCATTTGGGAGTCATCTTCACCCACACAGCCGCCCACACACTGCTTGCCGACATCACTGCCACCCATCAACAGCAATAGAGCTCAGCCTTGGTCGATGAAATACACTGCAGCTATCAAGCTCCTCGCACTGTTTAATACCAAGGACTGCATGAATGAATGCGTCCGATATATTAAGACACAAAAATTGAAAGGATTTAACATTATCTGATCAATCACTGTAATTGTTAGTTATGTATTATTGATTACAGATTCACGTAGGCCTAGTTGAAGCTAATTCCTGTTTTCTTGTTAATGTGTTTTCTTTCTAATCTGACTGCATCCTGCAATTTCTTTCCACGTACTTCAGATAATGTCTCAATGAAATGTGTGTGTGTCTGCAGTATTTCATTGAGATATATTTAACGTGTAAAGACACATTTGTCCACATGAGGTCAGCACTGCACTGGGAGAAATACTGTATAACTTGCACTGTGGAGTAAATGGAGGAAGTATCCAGGTCCTTTACTTGTGTAAAAGTAGCAATACTGGAATATTAAAATACTCCATTACAAGTTAGTGTATATAAAAGTATGTATTATTAGCTAAATGTACTTGTAATGCAGGAGAATGGCCCCTGAGTGTTTTACTATTAAATTATGAATGGGAATACTCAAGTAAAAATATCTTGTATCTTGTGTAGAATACAGTGTTTGAGTATAAATGTACTTTGTGTCAGAACAAAGCAGTAGACGTATAGCAGCATATTTTATTTAAACTCTGAACAGAAACATTGCACATTTGCCTTTTCATGCCTTAGGTTTCTTTCAGTTTAGCCCGCCGAAAATAAATCCAAACAGTCCAAACTGGGAGAGTAAAGAAGAAATACAAGAAGCACGTTACATTGCAAAAAAGACAGGTAGAAGTTGGCCACATTTGGAGACCTAATAGAAAAATAGAACAGCAATATTCATAATTCACGTAACATGATGCAATAGAATTTAAATCATGCATTTCAGATGAGATAATGTGTTTACTGATGAAGTTCAAAATACGAGGTATTTGTTGGCTCACGTTTGCTACATCCTTAGCAAGTGGTTCAATTTAATACTGCATAAAACATGCACTTCAAAATGTTTCTGGTCGACTTCAATTCAGCTCTTCAACTAAAATACAGTAGAGCACACAGATCCATGCCACACAATGTGCACAGTCACGTTTTAAACTCCAATTAACGAAGCTACAACACAATTCATAAGGTATACCCCCACCCCAAAAATAAATAATACTTAATATAATAATAATAATAATAATAATAATATCTAAATAATAGCTTGTGACTACATGGACACTTCAGTACTACAAGTTCCAGTGTCTCAGTCTTCATTTGGAGATTATAACTGTTTAAGTAGCATTTGTGAGCCTCGAGAAAAGGCCAGAAAGTAGATTAAAGCAAAAGTCTGACATTTTAGGAAAAGCAATTCCTGGTTGAAAGTTAGATGGGAGGAAACCATTCTCAGACTTCTCCTTTAAAGCTCGAGTGCAGGAACCAAACAAGTTCCAGTGTCAGGAAGTAACTCATTACTAGGGATAATATTACAGTTACTAAGCTAAACTAACCGTTAGCTGGCTGTAGCTTTATTTAACAAAACAGCTTTGTGGTATTCTCTCATCTAAGTGTGTTTCATAAAATGTCAACTAATCTTTTAAATGTAGCTTAGTGGGGAGCTTATGGTAAACGTAGCTTTGCTTTATGTTTCAGTTGTCGGTGTTTAATCAGTAGATGAGAGGCCTTTTTCTGCGGAAATTAATGTGATATTAGAACAACTTCATCAAGGCACATTGTGTGTGTTTGTGTGTGTGACGAGTGAGACCCTGCATTTTATAAAACTGGGCAAAATAGATATCTGTATGTTTATAATGTTAATGCTTTGTGGCTAACATGGGGTCAAGACATAACTGCAGTCATTGGTTTTTACAAATTATGGCAAAAATATGGAAACGTGGATTTCCGTACTATCTGAGAATCTTGGTGAGGAGGCCATGCATTTTTCATTAGGATCTTAAAACAAGGCACAGGAAGGGAGGGAGCGGAGCACTCAATTTGCATTGCAAGCGCTGTCACAGGTCCTGCTGTTCCTGAACCCCTTTTTTTTTACCTTCAGAAACTCGACAGCCACATTACAATCCAGAGCTTACAGGTTCTTAAACAGCACTTGTAAATAACCCAATAGCGTATGTACAGATTTACAAAAATATCTCTGTTGCCCCGGACAAAATGCGAGCAACGAGGAGGTACCGAGAGCAAACCGAACCACAGCAGAGACTAACATTCCTCTCCACTACTCTTCATGCCGTGTTGTGCCAAAAAAATCTGTGCAATGCCCAGAATAGTTAGTGTTAGCTCACTGGTTGACATGTTGACACAGTGGTTTGAGTTTCCCTTCTGACATGGTGTCATCAGCTGATTTGTAGCTGCTCCGACAAGCTTGCCAAACACAGCTCTGTCAGCCTTCAGCACGGGAAGACTGAAGGGAGCAGAAAAACCTCTATGATAGCGCCGCACTCAAGTCTAAAGCTCATCTCTAGTAGCAAAAGCGAAGAGGAGCAGAGCCCAAGAACCTCTGCATGCACTGCACTGCCTCTGTTGCAGGCTGCATTTAAGAGGAAATAAGCCAATCAGCTCGGATGTGGCTTCTGAAGCTAACTAACAGGTTTGGATGTTGTGCCATCAGCGTCGCCACTGCAGCAGGGTGTGCTGCCGGTTTTGGCCACAGTGCAGCCACTTGTTTCTGTGCTGTCGCCACTGCAGGGGCTCGCCGGCGCAGAGACGCTCTGGCCACGTTGTCTCTTCTTGTTCAGTTCCTCCCATTTGGCCCTGTTAGCTTTGATCATGTCAAGCATCGGCTGCAGTTTGGGATTCAACTTGACCAGAGTCTAGAGAGAGAGAGAGAGAGAGGGTGGGGGAGGGGGAGAGGGGTGAGGAGGGAATAAATGTGTGTTAATATAAAAACCAAGAAAAATACATCATTAGCATGAAAGAGCCCCAGTTTGTGCCGCTCATGTATTAAAATTACAATCAGTTACAGTTATAAACAGCGTTACAGGACTTCACCCCAATCCTGACCTCTCTCTGTTGGCTCCCTGTTTGTTGTAGAATAGATTTTAAGAATTTACTGATCACTTTTAAGCACATCTGGGTCTCTCCCCAAGCTACATAGCAGAAATGTGTGAGCCAGTTCGCTGCCTTAGGGCCACAGGTGGGGCAGGTAGGGCCCTTCTGTCTGTTTCAATCTAAAGGTGACCGTACTTTCAGGGCCCCTCGGCTTCGAAACTACCTGCCTGAGGAAATAATGTTTGTAGAGTCAGTGACTTCTTTCAAATCACTTCTTTAAACACATTTTTATAGAACTGCATTTATGTGATAATCATCTCTTTATTTACTTTATTCTACTTATTTTATTTCATTATTTTGTTCTATTCTGCTATTATTTTTGTATTTATATAACTAGTTTATTTTTATGTCTTTTTTAAATGGCTATCGCTTTCACTGTCCTTATCTGTCGTCATCGTCTTCCCTCTACCATATTTTTTCATCTTTCATCTATTTCTGTCTTGCCTTTGTTTGGCCTTAGTGCCTGGCTTCTTAGCATCCTGTTCTTTCTTTGTCTGTCAAAGCACTTTGTAAACTTTATTTTTTAAAGTATAAAGGTCCTATATAAAATATGAAGTCATTATTATCATTATGTGTTCACCATCTTAGTTTTATGCTAATTAGCACTAGAAAAACAACGTACAGCTGAGGCCGATGGGAATGTCATTATTTTTGTAGGCCGGTCATGAACCAAAGCATTTGGCAAATTAAAATTTGGGCCTAGATGAAAAGTCAGAGGATCACTAAAGCCAGTTTGATTAATCTTCTGAGCAGCACAAATTTCATGGCATTCCATCTAATAGTTGAGATATTTTGGTCTGGATTAAAGTGGCAGATTTACTGACTGTCAGACCATCCATCCAAACAGCCGGGCTCACATTGCCAACACGCCGCTCTGAAGGTATGAAAATAAGTTTCTCAAGTTTCACTTCTTTTTCCTTTTCTAAGCAAATACGGTAATCATAAAGGACATTGCTCCGTACAACGCCAACCAAAATGAAACATTTTATGATCAGTTATTTTGGTATGTTGATGTTTCTTTCCAATGTTTTATATCTGAATACCATATTAATATATTGCCTGTCATGTCTAGCTACCTGGATATGGGAATATAGTCACAACTTGATAAATGGGTTAAAGTCACCGTTATTGTGCAGTAAAGAGAATATTTTTTCATCCAGAAGGTTAAAAGAGCCTTTGAGGAGTCTGGAAACACCTTCAGAACAATGAACTTTTGTTAAACGACCTTCTGCTTTTCTCAAAGACTGACGGGTTTTTATTTCTGTGAAAAGCAGATGCTTTGCACTCTCTGATTAGCATGTACTGATAATACATGAGAGGCACAGGCTGGGTCTCGAAATGCAGCACATTATTCATCAAATGCGCTATAAGTGCAAAACAAATGAAACAATACAGCGAACACACTGCTACATACAGTCGCCTGATAGTTTGAGGCAATGAAATGGCTGTTCTTTACAGATTAGAAGCACATGTATGACTGAGATAAGTTGCCTTTGTCATTTTTCCACACTGTACTGTAAGTGGCAGCGTAGTCTCAGCTGTTATC